GTCATTATTTCACGGGTAACTCTCGATGGCTGATGACAGGCAATGATAATTTTATATATATAAACATTGTGAGTGCACGTTTGTGCTGAAATATAGTGCAGAGTTTTTTTTCTTGTCAATTTAGAAGTGGTCCGCTTGCTCTTTGTGTAGAAGCCATATTGGCCGTTATGCTGAGGAATTCACTCAGCTTAATGGCAAGAAATGATCTGCACATCGTTTAGAACTGTAGAACAGTCAGTGCAATAACAAACGGCTGAATAATTAATACTGCCATTAACACGAACTTTTCCTCAAGTAACACAGTTCGTTCTCAGGGGTAAATCTGATCTTGAGTTTGCAGCATATTCGATAAGAAAGTTTCGTGAGTTATACGGACAGAGTGCCTATTTTACAATAGCATTTCTCAACGATTTCTAAAAGTGCAGCAGTGACTAAAATATATCTCTCCGTAGACTATGGGGACATGAACACACTACTATCTTTGCTGATATATCCCCCTTATTTGGCCAGAGTGAAATTTGAAAAGGTGAATCTTGAAATGTTTAATATTCACAAAGAGAAGAACATTGGTGCTAAGACACTTCCTTGACTTGACCGAGGAGCACAACGCAAGATTGTCTGTCGCTAAGCACTGTTCAAGATATACATCTGAAGTATAATAATGTGTTCTATAAAACACCGACATTGTTTGGTTGTTATTATTTGAAGTTTTAAAATACGTTATCGGGGTTAGGGTGAGTTCTATGACAGTTGCAATGAAGATGCAACAAACTGAATCTTCATTTGTATTTCGATGCTTGTATTAAGAGAGGCATGATCGGTATGCCGGGTGACGTACCTACACCCCCTAGGTCAACTCAGACTTAAATGGGTCCCAGCTGCAGTGTACACGTGCTGCATGCAATCCATAGCTATATATCTCTACTGAAAAATAGCAATGTAGCTCAATGGGCCTTGGCTGGTGAAATAAAAATAGTTTTTTTTAATCATTAGCAGCAGCAACAGAAGCAAAATCAGGAACATAAAGAAAACATTGTAACAAAACGAATATCATCAGAAACATAATCATCATTGCAATCAAACAAACAACATCATCACTATCCTATCACAAGCATGAATAATCACTGTCGTTTTCTGCATCTGCATGTGTTGCTCCATTCCACCTTTTACCAGAAATTTTTGGTCAACAAATGTTGACATTTTTTTTGCACAACTCAGGCGCTGCTGAATAAGCACGTGAATTTATGAGGAACGAGCAGTCAGGGGCCATCCATTTAGTACGTACGCATGGAGGGGGGTTAACCCAAATGTGTACGCTTGTGTATGGGGGGGAGGGGGTCTACTGACAATGTGCGTACGCATAGGAAACGGGGGGGGGGAGGGGGGTGTAGCCTCTATAATAATTTGTCTACATTGGCCTTCAAATTAGTTACGTAGATAGTCCGGCGGTGGACTGTTTGCTTAAACAAGTTAATATTATATTCTTAGTTTTTTCGGTAAAGTCACGTTGAAGAGAAACAACAAAACAACAAAATATATAAAAAACAATAAAAAATTCTCACGACGTTTCGACCATAACTCAAACGGTCATCATCACACCTGATGATGACACCTGATGATGACACCTGATGATGACCGTTTGAGTTATGGTCGAAACGTCGTGAGAATTTTTTATTGTTTTTTATTGTTTTATATATATTTTGTTGTTTTGTTGTTTCTCTTCAACGTGACTTTACCGAAAAAACTAAGAATATGAATTACTGCAGTCACGAAAGCTTTAAATCAAAATTCAAGTTAATATTGTTAATCCTTGATCGTTTCTGCGTGGATTAAATATCGGCCGTTCTATAGGATTCGGGGGGGGGGGGGGTGCGTCAGGCGTACGTACGCAGGTGTGGGTGGGGGGGGTGTAAACAGTACACGTGCCTACAGGGAGGGGGAGAGGGGTCACGTTTTGACAGATTTTTGCGCACGTACTAAATGGATGGCCCCTCACGCGCTCAGGGCACAGCCCAATTAACGCGGTTCTGCACACTGTGGGAAAGTTTCAGTGAATTTGTTAACATGCGAAAACATTCCAACATTGTGGGCTCCGGTCCCAGCCTCGCCAACTTTGGCCAAATTTCCCGCAATTGTGATGTGAGTAGCGGTGGAATGGGGTGTATTTTCGCATGGGATCGGCCGCGCATGAATTTTAATTTACTGAAGTGGGCCGGTTTTCCGTGGATCAACAAACGAAGGCAAATCATAGGCGCATTATAACGGCTGTTAAAGAAAGATAATGGGCTTAGCCCCGACATTCCCTCTCACGGAGATGACGGCTGATGGATGGAAATAGGGGTGACGGTTTGTCAGCCATCGGAGGGAATGTGGCTGAAGCGATGTGGCTTTGCAAGACGAAGGAATTGCAATGACTTAATCCAGCAGTGGATAGACCATGGCTTGTGATTGTAAGGTATATATTTTGTATGAAGAAACAGAAATACAGTCGACGGCAAGACCGCCTTCACTACCTGAAGGCAAATTATTGGCCTGTAAACGACAGCATATTGACAGTGATGTTTGCATTTCTCCAAGTAATTTACATTTTTCTTGTTTATATTTCCTGTTTAATTAGGCCAATATCATTAGTCGTTTCTACTTAGTGTGTTAATGATTTTAAGCCGTAGCATGCAGTGAACGAATTTCCCAGTGATAAATGTAAAAGAGTATGGATAATGCCAGCAGGGTAAACATTACAGCCTTGCATCACATCCTCATTTACATTTGCTTAGTCAGCAGAATCTATCCAGACCATTAACCACGAATGTGTGATCATTTTGCAAAAAAATAGCCATTAGGCAAGCAAATGCTTACAAAAGCCCACGTACTATATATCATACATTGCATGGTGATAATATGTATAAGATGTAAATATAATTTATGAAAGTGAGATGCTGAGCTTTATATTCAGTATAAAATGCATATTATTAATATGTAATCTGCAAGCCAATGCAGTTAGAATTAAGCATTTTTTGTTAACGTAAAATTTGATTTATGCAGATAATAACTTTTCTCTTGATACGGAACCAATTTATTTTCAGTCCTACAAACGAACAAGCGTAAACGTCTATGTGAATAATGGAGTGCTTGCATACCAATTAAAATGTATGTGTGTGTACGTAAGCGGGTCTGAGCAATAAACAGTGAGGACAACGTGTGCAGAGAGTCACTGAAATGGGAAAGGGTCCTTAAAGAAAGGCCCAAATCGTGGTGTTATGCTCCACAGAGTGCCTTTGGGACACCTCTGTCTGCCACTGACTTTACTGTTCAGCAGATTTTTTTTTTAATTGTTTGATGGCCGGTACTTCTTTTGTACCATAAGTCGTCGTGAACTTATCCTGCAATCGATTTTATTCTTGCTAATTATCTCTTTAATATGAGCAAAACCATTATTCTAGATTTGAAGTATTCGTGACTGCAGGGATCCATACTCTTTGGTTCTTTCATGTAGGTATAAAAATAAAATAAATTAAATCACGACGTTTCGGGCGCAACACAAGCGTCCGTCATCAGGTGGGACAACCACAGCAAGAAACAATTGCTGAAGTGGGCAAAAGGGCTGCTTGTATCAAGAGGCTATAGAGAGGTAAGAGAGAGGGGGCGGAGCCAGGGAGGAGAGATAGAGAGGGTGGAGGTGTGGGGTAGGGGGAATGGGGTGCTGCAAGCACGACAATGCAGGGGCTGGGAAGTGGGCGGGGCTGGGAGTAGGTGGCTGAAGAAAACTGGAGATGCAGATATGAAGTCAAACTATAAAGCGGTTAAGATTTTACCTGGTTAATAACATCCTTCCAATGATTGCTCAATTTGTACCCATCTTCTCGGTTGAAGTTATGTCTGTGTTTATATATCTGGATGGCTTCATGAGTACCAACAAACCATTATTATTGGTGGGGTAATGTGAGTACTGTAAAACATAGCCTAAATATATGGTTGGTTGTACTATAAACCAAGGAGTCATAATGACCAATTTTCATATTGATATTTAATTTGCTGCACAAAGTATCTCATAATCCTTGTATTCATTATTAACAAAGATCAAACGCTTATCAGAATGTCTAACCCGCTAAGGTTTTACGGCCAAAAAATAACCTGCACATAATTTTAAAATAACAAATGAAATATGTTTGAGGGCACATTCATACTATACATTCAGAATGATTTTAAATGTGGCATCTGGTTAGGAGATATCTCAAGGATGCATTCGCATTTCAGACTTTCATTGTCTGTTTTTGCTGACTTTTCAAATGATGGCCCTACCAGTCGTGTGCTATTTTCATGAATTATCTCACCCTTTAGGGATATTTATCCGTTTGGAATTTTGACGCGATGTACACTTGTCAAGTGCCGTGGTCTCTAAGAGGTTCGGGGGAGGGGCAGGGGGTGATACAATTTTGAGGTCTTTTTTTACCATGCTACAATCAGGACAGTTTATAAATTCTTAACGGTTCAGAAGGTTACATTGCATGTAATGGAAATGGGCCGCCATCAAGTAAACCCAGGAATAAGCAAATGCAGTCGTGGGCAATTTTGGTTTCTGATTCCATTGCCAACATTTTTATTTACTTTCAAGTACGTTTTCTGTTAATCTCCAATGAGATGATCTCACTTTCATATTCGTTCAGGCCGGCACTGAATAACAATTTTTTTTATGGGGGATTTAGTCATGTCCCCCCGCCCCGCCCCCCCTTAATAATCTGAGAGTATAGCATGATATCTCTCCAACAGTGTTGCTATTCCCGGTCGATGAAACTGCAGTAATTGAGATTAAAAAGGTCCTTTCCATACACCCTTGGAGAAAATGTCCCCCCACCCTAGAATTTAATCTCATGCAAGGCTTCCCAAAAGGGACTCGAGATGGCTCAGTAAACGTTGATTGTGTGCACACAATGATTGTCTTCCTCTTGTGTTGTATTATGCTGTGGGATTATGTTGTGGGTGAGGAATCAAAACTTTGAATGTTGAGGAAGCATGCAGCGCTGCCATTTATTGCTTCATTCATCAACAAAGTAACTTTCAACGTCAATAGATATACATAGCCCCCTTGTAACATGTGTCAGTACACTCTGGAGAATTCTGCTACAAAAAAAATCACTTTGGTCATAAATACTGATTGATGTCCACGTGCACGATTCTACGTGGGCATCATCAGATTAATTGATTCTAGTTAATGAATTTTGCTAAAATCACGGGAGCTGCATGGAAGTACAGTGCCTCTACTATAGTCTGCTCATCTTGATTGTGCAGAATCTTTACGATGGGATGTATGTTCTTTAATTGTTTATACATATTTAAACATCATGCTAATTGGTGAAATTTTATTATCATTATTGTCATTATTGGTTTAATATTGTCTAAAATCCAATCCAAACTGTGCCAACTGTGCCAGATCTCATCGACTGATGAATCCTGATTGATTCTGCGGAATCGTGGATCACATCAGTTCCACGTGGAATCATATTTTCAGTACAACTATTATTTTTTCATGCGAATTTTTTTACAGTAGTGTGCGATGTTGCGGTGTAATTCCAATTGTGTAATTTGCAGGTCTTTTTTCAGCATTGAAATGTTTAATCAATACCAGGTACATTGTATAGTTTGTTTTGGAGTTGTTCTGTGGATAAACTGGTCCCTGTTGGAATGTGGAATTTCCATCTCTGGCTCAGGGCCACCAGTGCAAAAGAGCCCTGAGAATTGAGATGCCTCCCACCCTTATTTTTTTTTATTTAAAATAAGTTTAATTTAATTTAAGTTCCTTTTGTGGTCACATACTGGGCATATTAAAAAATATATATTTGATTGGTATGGAAATATATGGTAGTAAATTCAACGAAAACATTTGTTGCTCATCTTTTCATGTCCTTTACTGTTTTTATTTTTGATAAAAGCATACTTTGACTGATATAATCTAAAAATGTTGAATACATACAGTACAAATGAAAGAGTTATAAACGTATTACATCCATTGTTAGCAATGAAAGGATTATAAATAACCAATTTTTTTTAGCAAGCGTTGTACACAAAACGTATTACTTTAAGTGAACTGCATTTGGCCTCCGGTAGGAGTAAAAATATAAGGTTAAATATAATGTACATTTTAAAAACTTTTCTGCTTTTCTTTCAATTTACAATTTACAAAAGGGTAGATGTACATAAATAGATATGGTATTCACACACACACTGACCCTCGACAAACTCCTGGTTGTTTGGTTTCCATTTCATTTTTGCCCATTTAAGCCAAGCTGGTGTTGTTGTGATTGTGTAAGCGCAGTGCATAGGCATTGACTGCAAGTCTACACCAAAGTTCTTCAGCTGTATGTCCAAAGTTGACCAGCAGGAGTCTTGGTATGTATGAGATTGATTGGTCCTCTCGTTGATGACATTGCTTGCCACTGTGCTGTAGGCAAGGGCCACAAAAGGGCTCGAGTTAAATGCGGGTCCATTTAACATACATTTTGCCTAAGGACACCATGATGAAATAATTGACACGTTTAACCTGCCCATTAACAAGGGGATCATTAATCTTGTCAAAGGGTATTGGTAAATGCACTCCGTGCTCGAATTGGAACTACTGGCAATAAAAATAAAGCAGATAAATCACGACATTAAAAATGTTTTATCTTATCTTTTCATACCATCCAGGACAATAACTCTTTTGTGACATTCAAAAAATCAAACCAATTTATTCCATCGGCAGCAAATCAGTTCTGTTGTGCTTTATTAACGTAGGTATCATATTGTATCGGGGCAAGGCCCTTTCTCTAGGCTGTAGCATTGCTCTAGAAGTTATCGTAAGTGAAGTGCTGCTTAGAAATAGCAAGTGCCCTTTGCAATTTGGTCCATTGTGTATATATATTTATTTTTTCTGCTTTCGCCCCACGTCAAAGGTGAGTCGAAGTCTACTGCCACGAGGGGACGAGCTTCGGCAGGAGCAAGCCTCTCTCGACGGCTTCACGGCCAATCAAAGGTCCTGCCAATCATGCCGAAGAACCGCCGGTTGTGCTCTCGGAAGAAGGCGTGGAGGAGGCGCACCACGTCGGCCCGCACACTCGGGTGCGGCCGCCCCTTGGACTTGTTGAGGCAGCGCTCGTGCGTCTCGTTGCGGAGGCAGTAGAAGCCACGCGTCGCGTTGAAGTAGAAGTTGTCGGGCCCAACGTGCGGCGAGAGGCCCAGGAAACGCTCCACACGTCCCACCTCGCGCGGCGGATCTTGCACCAGCCGGTCACCGTCCACCACGTGGATGCGCTGCGCAGGGAAGTGCGCGAGCCAGCGGAGGAGGTGCAGGTCGTACATGCTGCGCTGCACGGCCTGGTAGGCCAGATTGACACGCCCGTCGCGCACCGCCATCTCCTCGAAGGGCCTGGTGGGCTTGCCCCTCTCCAATCGGTTGTAGTAAACCTGTGGGAGGCCAGAGCGGTCGTTTATGAGATTCACTAGAATGGATTGACAGCGAGATCATAAATCGGTGCAATATTGGAATTCAAATTAAATACAGCATCTTGCTGCTTCAGTGAGCCAGGATTAGAGCTTCTGCACCTTCAAGCCATTTTTGTAAATAAAAAAAATGTCTGCAGTAAGATACCACGACGACTGTTAATATCTTGGGGATTACTCATGTTTTTGTCTTAAAAGGTTTGATGGGCTAAGTAAACCCTGGATCGGAATTTGTAACCTTTTCGAGGTGCGTACACCGCCACACCACCAGCCATATTTTACAACACATACATTTTATATGATCTTTAAATATTTACTTAATAAATGTCGGTACAACTTTTAAAAGGTTCCCATTGTGAGCTGCGGGACGATAATTGTTTTATTTCACATTTGTCCCGACTTATCTTGATGATGGGGATTTGCTACTTTGAGGCCAAGCTTTGGATATTATGCATTGAAAGTTTCTTAAAACGGCTTAAGTCTAGCTTCGTGAGATTTGTCATTGAGCACCATAATTTATATGCAAAGGTTTTCAATCGACATGTATTTCAGATATCTGCATAGGAAATTTGACTATATTAACTAGATTACCACTTGATAAAATGATGCTATTATTGACTGCAACAGATACTTCTGAACTTAAGATATAATGTGGCAATTTAAAAGGAACAAACTACATCATTTCATAACCATTTCCTACAGATTACATTTTTATTCTGATAACCCTACGAAGTCCGAGGACAAATGCAGCAAATGTAATATATACTAATAAAGTGTTGCTCTTAATATGCATCAGAGCACAGTTTTATAGACTTCATATTATGCTAAGTCCTGACCAACAACTTTTTAACAACCTTATAATATCATTGTTTATTATCATCGCTGTGCTACCGAGTGAGCAAACAAGCCTTCGGGATATGTTTTCTTTTTGCTTTTCATGACCATGCGAGAGAGATATGCGTATGGGCCCAGTGGATTCGAAAAAATAGCGCCTCGTGCAGAAAAAAAATTCCCACTGCTCTTTGCAATATATCACGAGGACAGCCATCGGCAAGTTGACAGATACTTCAACTTAAAAAGGTACGGGGGGGGGGGGAAATACAATTCCATGCAACATATGGTCACACAATTATTTTTGACCGGGAAATATCTCACCCAGCGTGTGCACAATTTACAGGCAGGTGTTTGTTTATTCAGCAGTTAGTGGACATAGATAAAATTACGTGTCCCAAAATAATCAAAGTCGCGACGGATTCACACTTTTGACAGCCGCTTCCCCGCCGCAAGCTCCGGCAGAGCTGATGACTCCAAACTTTTTTAAAGAATCGGGTGAAGGAATTGTATTCACGTTGTATTGTAGTAACACCGGTGGTTTCAGAGTTTGTGGTGTCAATTCACAGATCTGCTCCAAAGCAAATGTAACTTCTTGTAACTCTGGCCAACAGTGTTCAACAGAACATACAGTCTTAATGTAAAATGTAAAGGTATAAGCCCTGCAATTGTTTGTTAATGTCACTGTAAGAGGAAGGACCTGCAACTAAAATGAGCTCAAGAGGGCCCCACTGCGGGATACTTGGCCTCCTCTTCCACACTATTCATAGAAGTTCCCTGTATGGCTCCTCATTCTCCAGGGAAAAGGGGAGGCATCGCTTGACCAGGCCGCTCTGCATTATTAAGTTGCACTTATTACACACAAAGTGCTTGCCACAAATGAACCACAATACCTTACCGATCTCGTCAATGAGCATGAATCATCATGCATTCTCACACAGGCTTTTTGCTAACCGTCGAACAAAGACGGTCACACTGCATGGCGTGCTTTCAGATGCGCTTCTGCGGCCATCTGGAAAGCTCTTCAGATATTCGGAAGCCACTGGAGCTATGCACTTTAAAATGTAAATTGAAAACTAATTTCTTTATAACTGATTTTTGTGTTTAGTTTGTTGTCCTTCCCCTGCACCTCCGATAAGCATGGTTGATTATGTACAGTTGAGTATGTACAGTGCGAAAGATGTTCTACATACATACATTCATGTGCAGGAGCTCTATGTATTATGACATCTCACGACATTGAGGGATTGCAATGGTACGCGTAGACCTTTGTCCGTCAGTGGATAGAACATGGCTGACGATGACATTTCGATACACAGCCCTGTAGCCAGCAGCCAGGATGTAAGAGATTTGAACATCTGTATTATATCGGATCAATGATTGCTTTGATAATGCAATTAAATATCACCAAATAGCTTTGTTAAATGCAGGCTTCCTTCGTCTATCACAAGAGGGCAGGTGGATAAAAGCAGCAACTCCCTCGCACCACTCTGGCCAGACATCTCAGACGAAGTGGGAGTGCCCACACTTTACACCACCATACACGCTGCGGCGTATACATTTATAATGCTGGGTGGACAGAGACGAGAAGGGATTTGAAGGAACTTTGCCCATTGTTTCAACTGCTGCGCCAGGAGTTCAAATCGGTAACGTCTGTATTGCAAGTCCAGTGTGCTAATCATGGCAGCTAGCCGTGGGGAATTCGTAATTCATTATTGAACAGCTAGGAAAATACAAAAGTGTACACTCCAGTGGGAAAAAAAAACAATATTATATCTGACTACACCTGAATTAAAATTAAGGAATTGAGCCATTGATCGGATTGATTTGCTTTTACTTCAACTGGGGTCTGCAGACTTTGTTAAACCTGTTGGCATAAACAACTCATGACAATTTCTTCCCCCTCTTGCGAGGCTAAATTACAATAATTAAACTTTTTTTTTGCTATTGAGCCATTTGTCAAAACAATATTTGATGGTAAGTGCAGACTGAAACTAAATCGCATCAGCTTTTATGTACCACATTATCATATAGATGAGGAACAATAGTATTACTTTTAATGTGTGTATAACAGATATACACAAGAATACAATGTCAGCATTTCTAAAGTGCTTAACTCATTACATGTTGCACAAAATGCCATGTTTCTTTGTGATAATTTCATTGGAAATTGTTATAAAAACACTCAAGTGGAATGTTTAATGGTTTTATTGTACTGAAAATAAATACTAATAAAAACATGCCGATTTAGTTTCTGTAAGATACAAGATTCAATTCCACTGGAATAGATCTGCATGGCATTAATGTCACATGCTTGGAATTCCCAAGCTCATTCGAAATATACCTTTACACTCAGTTCTGTAGTGGATGGGATTTTCGTACATTTCTGTATTAAGGTTTTTTTTGTGTTTTTGATCAAGTTTACAAATGGTGCCCCATACATAAATATATATGAAAGTAATATACATCTATCCTGCATTATAATGGAATGCACTCTAAGTATTGAGCAGGATCAAATAACATGACTGCAGATCATTGCTCACTGTTAAAATAATTCCCATTAAACATGTAACATTACACTGTCCTGTTCTTTTATTTCTTATATTCTAACACATTCATGAATGCCATTAGTTATTTTCAGAAATGTGTCTTATTTTGTACTACGTGTGCAATTACATTTGAGTCTATATAGCATCTAAATGTGACGGCATCTCGAGACGCTGTACAGAAACAGTGGGGATACATATGTTTTAGAGACAGGCAGTCTCTCATGGATAGAGTTAGCAAAAGGTAGATCTTCAGCCTGAACTTAAGCAGGTGCAGGAAGTCCACAGCATAGACGTTTGCAAGAATGTATTCCCAGACTATGCAGTCTACAAGCCCGGACTAGATGTTTCACTTGTCTGTATCCCATGAGGTGACATGGTTACTGGTTCCAATATCTTTTGTGGCCAATAGCACTGGATTATCAGGTACTTTGCTCTTATTTGCCGTGTACATACATCGGTGCGGGTAAAGTTTTGCCACCTTCGGAGGTGGCACTGCTCTGGCCCATGGACTAGGAGGCAACAGAAGGGAATGAGCATCCTCCAGGTTATATAAAATGAAAATATCAATGGACAATGAAAATGCTAGCCTTTCTGTTATTTGATGACAATGCCATTAATTATGTAAATCTCCAGCACTGTCCTCCAGACAGTCTCGTCCCTTCACCTGATGAAGGCCACTTGTGTTGTGGCCGAAACGTCGTGAGAATTTTATTGTGTTATTTTATTTTATTAATTTATTACTTTATTCTCATTCTACGTGACTTTACCGAGAGAACCAAAGAAGATAAATCTCAACGTGTGATGCCAATTACGGTGTTGTAACTGAAGGAGGACAACGTTTAAAAGGCCACTCAGTTGAACTCAACAGGATGACGTACAAAACATACTTCGGCAACGTTGTACACTAAAAACCTTTTTCAAGAGTGGAATGCAAAATATAGGAATAGGTTTTACCCTTTTAACTGGCACAAAAACTGACACCTTTATTCAAGGCATCATGTTTGCAAAAACCACAACACAAGCAGTCAGAATGCAAACAAAAAAGACAACTCTGATAATATGCACTGTCCTTGAATTTGATTGGTCCACACCCGAGACAGCTTTTCTTAGAGCCTAGTCTCCATTGGTGTTGGACCAGAAGACGCCAAAAGGCGTACAACTCAAAAACAGCGCACCATCAGAGTATTGAGGGCTCGGGGTGAGCATTTACATTATGAGACCTCCTTTGCCAGAAACAAGATATAGGAATAGGTTTTACCCTTTTAACTGGCTTGGGTGGCCGCAAGTGGTTAGTGCTGCATCGGATAACTGAGCTGGCACTGCAGAGCTCCTGAATTTTAATCAGGGTGACCATCCAAATTCTCAAGTTTTGTGTGATGATGGTCTTATCCTTGTCACCAACTACTACGATTACTATTTTTACTACTATATGTATTTTACCAGGTAAGGCCCATTGAGCTTTATAGATCTTTTCAGAAATGACCTGGCTATCGCACTATCGCAAATGATAGCTCAACGAAGTGGCTTTTTGCGTGGAAATGTATAGCGGCCAAATACTCTAAACGCACGTTTCTATGATGTGGAGAGAAAAACCGGTGGACCCGGAGAAAAATCCATGCGACCACGGGGAGAACACTCCAACTCCAAATATTGCAGGCGTTGAGGGTCGGAATCGAACTCACAATCTCCTGTATACCAGGCAAGGTAGTTAAGATCTTGCCACCGTGGTACCCCCAAAATTAACACCAAACTTATGACATTTGGTTATTTACATACTATCATTTGGCATATACCAAGTGCTGAGAACTCAAACTAATTGGTTTGATGGCCAAATGATCCTTATGGCGGTACCCCGGGGTACCAAATAATACAAAATGGCCGAGGCAATTAAATATTTTATTTCTGGGACACTATTTTTTTCCAGGGGTGTACTTAACTCCGCGACTGGGGTACCAAAAAAAAATGACTGCATCACGGACATTATGCGAAGAGCCGGGGTACTATGGTACCCAGGGGTACCACCATAAGGTTCATATGAAGAAGCACTCTATGGTAAGGCACTGAGAAGGCACACCACTTAGTGTGACAATGAAGCAATGCATTTGACCTCTGAACTAGTTCTGTGATGCTACTGTATCTTCCGGAGGCTGTTGCAAAACAAGAGATTGCCACAACGCTCGTTTACAAACTAGCGAGATACAATTTTCCAAGGTGATTTGTTTGATTACTTTTGAATTTCCCTCCGCTTACAAGAACGAACGTGTAAATCATTATAGTATCTGGAGATAGTCGTTCACAAAAAAAGTAAAACATTTCAGTTGTCACAGCTCTGGATTTTGCAAACCTCCTGCAATTCTGAGAGTTTTGAGAGTGCGTCACAATATGTTTCAGCAGTGTAATGACCTGATGACTCGTGGGCATAATGGAAAGTGAATTGCACTTCGAGGTCACTGACCACACACTCTCGTCACTCCCCTAGCGAAAACGTACAGAGCTGCTTCAACTGGTGCGCGGAATAACTCGAACTGCACCGTGTTCCGTTCAAAAGAATGAGAGTTTGGCACATGTCTGCTGGGCGGATGGTGGCCACCCCACATGTCTGTATGTGGGGCCCAAAAGCAATCGAGTGGCAGCGAATATTGACATTTACATTTCTTCTGGTGGTCCTTGAGAGCTTTAATAGAAGGCCCTTCCCCATTTTCAGACGTAGTCTTTCAAATGCATTATTTTTGTTTAAAGCCCTATCGCCAGCTAACGAATTAGTGCACGCCAGGGGTCCTTCGCTTAACTCATTTCCATGCTTGAATTGTTAAATGGTCAGTGTGTTTTCCGCACGTGAATTATTTTGAGTAAATCCAGAAAAGGTTTTTTTTTTGTTCTCTCAAACGCAATATTTTATAACTGTATACATCTTTATTATGGACAGTATAATATATGTGTTTATTTATGTACTATGCAGGGTGTATGTGTGTGCCATTTTTGATAACTTGTTTTGGAAACGCTTTGAGACGTGACATATTGGTATTTGTTTCAGAACGTTCACATTTTCAGACATAACAGAACCTGTCTGACATTGAAGCCATTTCATTTTCAAGGAAAATGGTGACAAATATACATCATTCCATTATAAATGTCTGCAGTTTTATATATAAAAAAACAACAATAGATGTCTCGTATAAATCTCGAATATATCAAAAGGCTTCATTGGGACTTTTTGACAAATACCTTCCTTAAAGCCACTTCTCACTATCAATGCAACTATGTAAGCATTGCCTTCTTGTGTAATCAGAAAACGGATTCACAGTTTGCAATGTAATGTTGATTTCCATATACATTGGTATAATTAAATGACTATATCAGATGTAACACAATGTAACATACGTTGATGTGTTCATTTACATCACAACTGGCTCTTTAGTCAATTATGACACTGACGTAAATAAATGATGTGTACATATGGAGGCTGGTTCTGGGATCCCACCTTCACAAACACACACTGACCATTGTGGGTGAAGTATGGTCAAGCAACCCCCATGGGGAAGGCCTGCATCACATTGAATTTGAGAAAGCTGTACATGATTATCCTCATAATTATTATTGTGAACACATGTAATTAAAATTAATTAGAACTATTGTATATCATATCCATGTTGCAATGAATGCAAAAACACAGGTCATGTTTCTCATTGCTAGGTTATGTTTTTTCTTTATTTCGTAGATAAACTTTAATTAGTAGTAATTAAGTTAAGTGTATATACAACATTACGTCATCTGTGAAAAATGCACTACTGCAAGAATTAACACACGAAGATTGTTGCTCCAAAAACTACCTCTGTAATGCCGATGGCTTTTTAGATAGCAATTCCCAAAGGCTCATTACGACTGTACTGTACTCTTAATTAACATTTGCAAACAAAATAATTACCAATAAAGTGATCCACCAGAAAGTAAAATGCTTGCAAGAAGTTACATCGTCTGTAAAAGGTCACGATTGTACTTTCAATTTCTGCACAACACAATGCGGAACTCTTGTGAAAGATTTACACACACCTCTATTTTCTAAATCAGCACATTTGTATAACAAGCCCAGACTGCCGGCAATATGGCTTTAGCACGTTCGCGTTAAATAGTCATGTTCCTCAGTAAAATAAGAAAATTAGTTTTTTAAAGACCAAACTGGAGAATAATTCTTTCTCCGTCCTTGCACTCAAAACTTGAGCCGCTCAAGTTCATGTCTGTCCTACAAGCAGCTCTAAGTTTTACGTGCACGCTAATGTGCTTTGCACACCCACACAGCGTGCATGCCAATTAACTTTACTACGTCAACAATTTATATCAGTGGCAAAGATTTCCAGGACCATTAACTTCGTGCAAACGTGAAATGCCCATTTAATGTACTAGCAAAATAAACCACTAAACAGAGTTAGTTTATTTTGGCGACTGCTGACAAAATGTTTTGCATATCTTAGGTCAGTGTTTTTTTTGGACATCATGGCATGCCTTTTTTTCCACAATTAAAGTCACTAGGTTGATGCTCAGGCATGGTTTATTGCATGGTGGACATAATATGAGCATCATTAGCTCAAATCCGTGATTTGAGTTCAGCCTCCTTGGGTGCAAGTTGTTATCCCAGCTCCAGTATCGGTTGTTATTTTCCAAACAAATAACAGCCGATGCTGCAGCTGGGATCTTTTTAGGGCTATCGATTTTGGATACCCTTCAGAAAAAAAATAACATTCAACCACCTTGTGTTGACCAGATAGAGCTTATCACATTGGACCCTGTAAGTGATGGGCAGTTTTATGTTCAAACGAGCGCCTGAAACACTTCAATCCTCCGTAGCACAGAATTAAATTAGTCCATGACTTCAAACAACAGGCTATGATAATCTCCATTCGTTCAACATCATGGCCATTTAGACACAAAGCATTTACTATTGTTGTTATTGTTATTTAGAGACGGTAGACTACATTCATTTTGACCGGTACATATAGTATGTTGACCCTAATATTGAGTTCTAATAATCTGATGTGTAAACAAGAACCCTCTGTACCACGCTACAGATATGGCACAGAAAAGTTATCAACCTTTGCTACGTGTAGGAAATGGTCCAAGCGCAGGATAAAGATCTTACTCACTCGAGACAAGGCGACTAATCAATTACAATCAGACAGCCCAGCAGCCCTTCCTGGTTCTGGGTGGCAGAGTAAGCTCAAAAGGTAATGTTTGTTTCTCCGATTCCAAGATTTGCTTGTTGGAAACCGAAACCCTGCCTTCAGGCTCAGTAGTAGGAATGCCCATTACATGGTGTGTATTCTCTTGAGGCGATGTTAAGCTGGCTGTCTAATAAAGTTTGAGGTGATAAAAATCTTGCAGCCAGTCTGGATATTCTACACTGGTCTATGGGCCGCGCATTATTACGTCTGTGATGTTTTCTGAAATAAAATCTGCAAATGGGAAAAAATCATATCATAACAGTAAAATAGTACAGGCTGGAAAACTATAAGTAAAAAATGCAGAAACGTGTGCAAAGAGCTCTTAGCCTTTGTGCATTATGCAAAAAGCATCAACCGTTGCTGAAGAATTGCATTGTGGTACTCTTGTCCGAGGTGACCATCAAAATGGAGTCGGAATCCAGTGTGCGAACCATTACACCACATCAGCATCATGTAACAGAATATGCGCGCGACGAATTCAACAGCAACTCAGTGAAGTTTGCCCAAAAACGAACGGTGTGCGACGTTGCCAGTACATTTCCAGCAACTGCATGAAGCACTTATAAACACACGTACCTGTGTATAATCAGAGATGACCCTCTGAGTCGGATCTCGGACTATTAGAAGCAGCCGCATGCCGGGATCCAATTCGTGGATTCGACGCGGAGCCACGGGCGACGAGAAATACGCTGGCGTCTTCTCCACAGTCATCTGCGCCTCATTGGTCAGGGGCATCTGCTGGCGGTACCACTCCAGGCCCTGCGCGTAGTTTTTGTCATCGTCGAAAAAGTGCACCTCGTTGTCTGCCGCCGCGACGTCGGGGTGCAGGTTGAGCATCTCCAGGAGGGCCCGGGTGCCGCCTTTCCGCACTCCGATGATGATGGCATCTGGCAGCTGGCGAATCTCTCTCGACGGCGCGTGCTGCTCGCCAGCGGCGGTCGGCTCGAGGTCGCCTTGGTGCCATGCGTTTGCGAGCGTAAGGTTTCGCAGGCTTCCCGGCGACCCAGGCGCACGTGTGTCGCCCAGGAGGTGAGCAGGCAGGCCTGTGCATTGCACAACCACCACGAGCGCCACCACCGCCAACAAGAGTAGCGTCATGATGCACTTCGCCATGTGCACGGTCGTCCTGCCGGGGTTTCTCGGCGGCTTGCTGCGAGCAAGGATGTGGCCTCCGAGGATCCGATTTGCTGCACCTGCCGCATGTAAGTTCAGCTCACTGCAAACAATATTATGACAGGGCACGTTGCTTTGATGACAAAGCGAGACGCGGATCATTTTACATGTTTTAATCAAAACACGTTCCCGATTTAATTGCCCGGTGTATCACCATTAATTATATATATTTTTCCTTCCTGTAAAACGATTCTGGATTTTAGAAAACGTTAAAAAAATGTGCGTGCTTGGTTCAACATAATGGTATAATGTGGTATAAAAAAAATCACATAAACCTAATATGCCATTCAACTTATTTTGAAGCCGCTTGTATTCAAGTTATGTAAGAAAGCAATGGTTACTCTCTGTTGAAAGATATTATCATGTAATGTGTGATTGTACAAACTTTAATATAACATTTTCAGAGATGTTTTTGTCACCCCTCACATTTTAAGCACACTTACAAATTCCAGTATATAGCCATGTAATCAGATTATACTTTTTCACATTTGGAAATTAATATTGGATCTTATTACCCATGGCCCTTGTGATAATGTGGATCGCACAGTCTTCTATAAACACCTGTTTTCGTGGTTGTAAAAGGTGTTAAACTCATAGATTGTTTGATTGGCCAAGTCAGCAAATTCTCGTTTACAAAACGAAAATCGAATCCTGTTAGATTCTGGATTCAGATCACGGTTTCTGAAAAGTCACTCTGTATTTCCTCACCCTAGGAATTCAACAACGGTTTTCAGCAAGGAACTGCACAGGTTTGGTGGCATAAATAAAGGCAATTGCATTTTGCTTTTGCATAAAATCTCGCGTTAATTTATTTGCGTAAAATAGAACATTTCTAGCCCACAGTCTGATGAGTAAAGATCAAACAATATAATGGCTTTAAAGTTGTACATTTTTCTGCATTTCTTATTACTGTGTGAAATTGTCCCCGCATACATTTTCACATCAAAATGCTTCTTGGCTATAATTTACTTCCAAATATTAAAATTAAGCGTGGAGGAGGCACATTTCATAATTAGTAATAATGTTGAATATTGAATATATAAATTCAAATTTCTTTAATTTTACCCTATTTAACGTTAAAAGTTATTTATATGGCTTGTTCTTGTATCACCTTTTTGCTTCTAAATTAATACAATAAAAATGTATTATGTATAATGTATATATACGTACATACACATATAGTGTGGGGACTGCAAGTTTCTGTTTATTCCTGTGAATCATCTGTGATGGGGCACCTTATAGTCGGGCCTTTAACGTTTTCACTCCTCCTGACAATTTTGTTTAATTATCACGATTCTTTTGTTAACACGGTCTAAGTTTGAAAAAGTTAATGTATCAGCTATGTCTGTCTGTCTATTTATTTTTTGAGAGGGGGGCGATGGGGTCACAGTAATGCCAGTAAATATGATCTACTAAAAACATTAACGTTTCGTATAAAGTTGCATTATTGTTAGGGACTTTCCCGATTGACAACAGGGAAGAAATATTGAAGGTTCGACCAAATATCCTTAGTTGTAAGTTTGTAGCCGGCAACATTTTGTACATTATTCATGTTTTATTTTACTTATTTTTTTAAGTTTCACAGTAACCAAAATAACATTTTCTTTTAGCATTGTCTTAAATTTGTATATGTATACGTACATTAATGTACATATACAAATGTGACAATACGAAGAAAAGTGTATATATGTAACATTAGGCTTGGGCAACAAATAAATGCTCTGCTTTATAAGTCGTAAACATGTGGCAGATTCGAGGTTGTTAAGACGTAATTTTGTGCCTTCCTATAAATTAATCATGGGTTTTCTTTCTATCTATCGTACATTTCATCAGCAGCAATTAATTAGCACTTGAGTACGACCACAATATACGAATATTAATCCCGGTATAAACACTATTAAAATTCATTATTCGAGTCTACTTTACGAAAGCAAAAGGTATAAAACACAATAAGGGAGAATATAATTGGTTTTCTCAGGCTGTTCCTTTTGCAGAAACTGCTTGCAGCATACTCTTATGCTGACACCAATACATCTTGGTTCCATTAATTCCCCAGATGTCTTGTTACTGCCAGATTTAAGGTAAAATATACATTCCAATTATAGATCCCAAACTGCAATGCTGTTAATTTGGAAATGCAGTATACGTTTCCATCTGATAAAGTACGCCTCACTTTAATTCTGTTAAATTAGTATGGAACTCTGTAAATTATGGCAAATGGGTGATGGGCAGTAAATGAAATAATTTTGTTATGTTTGATCCAATGCACCATTTCCAAGATATTTGTGAAATTATTCACGATTGGTTTGCTGTGCAAAATTACGCAAACGTTTGGTTTCATAAAGATGGAGAGTTTGGTACTATTTTATGTTCTGTTGCATAATCTTTGTCCTACAGACAATGCTTATTCTCCATGAAGATATGTTCCTCCTAAAATATTAAAAGCATTTTCACATCAATGCTTCTAAAATATAGCACCATTTCGCCTGTATCCTATATCCTTCAGGATATAATGTAACTTGTAGAGAACAAAACCATTGAAAAGAGTGCCAAAGATAGCTCAGTGAGATTATCACCGTGAAAAAAAAAAGCATGCAAGTAGAATAAGTTTTGGAGGAACTGGGAGAGAAAGGTGTCTTGCAGAAATAAGACAGGCAGCCTCTGTCTCCTTTGGTCCAGTGGGATAAAGGGTGCTCACGTGATAACATTGCTAGACAGCTCACATCAAAGCAGGCAATGACTGTCTGTCAGCTTTCTGACGGGCCCCAAGGGGTAACATATCAGAAATGATCATGATGGAGAGACTCTCAGTGGCTCAATCTCTCTCTTATGTTGTGTCTGCCATGTTCCAGTAACCCCTTTATAGCATTTGCATTTAAATTCCATCCTGCATGTGCAAGGCCCTGTTTGGTGGTTTGTTGGTTTCTGTGTTGACTGAGCAATTTCGCAGTTTAAAAAGCTCGTCATATTGGAGAAGCAGAGATAAAAAAACCGGATTCATTATTTTTTAGTACACCGCGCAAATGAGTTTGTGCTCATCGTGAAATTATTGAAGCATTTCCATTAATTTTCTGAGGGAAACGTAACAAAAATTGCCCACAAGAACCATATACCACGCAGACTAGAAAAAGCAGGAAGAATACAAATCTAAATGATTAAATGTAAATTACCAATGCAGCTCTATAATAGTATAGGTTATTTTATAATGTTTGTATTTTGCATGTGTGTGAATCGTGCAGTAATTTCACAAAGTGAGAATGTATCATGTTATTATCATTACCGTTCACAGAAAAAAGAACCTACGTTTACAGCTCCGGTAAAGAGAGAAAGCAAATGGGATTTCCTCATACATCGTGAGAACATTCGCCAGACGTTTTGCTCTCGTCTTGATTATCAGTGCTGATGTAATAGCAAGAAGAATCACACTTCCACAGGTATTCCCGCTATCCTGAACAAAAACAGAGAGCTTCGTAGAGTCAGAATAAAAAAAAACATGACAATTTTTAATTGCAAAATCCATGCAACCACAGGGAGAGACATGCAAACTCCAAATATACAGACATCAGGATCGGGATTGAACCACGACCGCCTGTATTTTACATCTCGCCACCATCTCACAGTTCGTTTGTGTAAGGAAACACTTTGATTTACCTTCACGATATGATATAAAATGTCATATACATTCAGCCTCCATAGATTACCTAAATGTGTAAATTTCAGTTGATGAGCAAGCAGCAGTAAAACTAGTTGAAAAACATCTATATTTTAAAATAGTGTTTTCAAGATTAAAAGTTTGTAATATTTGCTCTCATGGCCCTTAACACTTCACCAGTGGAACAAATTTACAGTAAAACCTTGGATTGCGAGCATAATTCGTTCCGCAAACGTGTTTGTAATCCAAAGCACTCGTATATCAAAGCACAACGTATATCAGTTGTGATCACGTGACGCTCGGCAGACAAAGTGTATACGTACTACTACTCGTATTGCAAGACCTCGCTCGTTTATCATATTAATATATATTTCTAATTTTTGCTCGTTTTGCAAAACACGCGCAGACCAAGTTACTCGCAAACCAAGGTTTTACTGTACCAGGAAAAAATAATGACTAAACTTTCCCATGCTTTGTATGTAATTATATTATGCTCTGGGATGTAAAATTGTAAAACAAGACTACGATGTGCATTGCTTTGAGAAATATCCTAACTTGTTTGTCGTGACTTTCTAAATACTATTTGAAAACATTGATACATTTTAATTGAAAAAGGCATGTAAAAAAATGGTACCATATTATGTCGCACATGTAATTATAATCAGTGTGATTATATATGTAATTAGCTACTAACTGCACTTTGAATAAATAGCAACATGTATTTTTAACGTATATATTTTTTTATCTACTTGAGCATTCCAGTATAACCACCCGGCTGGATATAACTGTGCATATAACAGTGATTGACTTCCAAATGGAAGGTTGCAAGTTAAATTTAACTCGGCTTATTCTCCCTTCATAGACCACGAATCGAGGTTTTTTGGCATTATAGGAATATAATGGTTCACTTCCCTGGCATTTAATTACAGTTTCACGACTCGGGACCATAACGAACTTGCACGTACGTTGCATAGCAAGTGAACCTTATGGCGGGACCCCGGGATCCCATAAGCCCCCGGGCTCTCGAATAAACATTATATTATAATAGAAACAAAAACGTTGCTATTTTTCACCAATGGGTTTGAAGGATGGTGGCAAGTGTTGTCTTTTTAAACTATGCCTTTAAAACTGAAAACCACTTACCTGCAGTACCTCTATTTAAATACACCATCGACAAAATGATTTACACCCCTCTGCCAATCATCGTGTTTCTCAGTGTGGATTTGTGAACACACTTTGTAAACAGCGCGTAAAATATAACATTATTTGGTTCTTACGGTAAAGTCACGTAGATTGAAAAAAATAAGTAATAAAGTGAATAAAAATATCACGACGTTTCGATCGCAACACAAGCGGTCGTCGTCGTGAAAAGGGGTTAGCCCCTAAAGGCA